ATACTACAATACATCCCATTTTGTTTTGGGGATGTAATCTGTTTATAAATATACTACAATACATCCCATTTTGTTTTGGGGATGTAATCTTTTTATAAATATATTGCAATACATCCCATTTTGTTTTTGAGATGTAATCTGTTTATAAATGTACTACAATACATCCCATTTTGTTTTTGAGATGTAATCTGTTTATAAATATATTACAATACATCCCATTTTGTTTTTGAGATGTAATCTGTTTATAAATATATTACAATACATCCCATTTTGTTATTGAGATGTAATCTGTTTATAAATATACTACAATACATCCCATTTTGTTTTGGGGATGTAATCTGATTATAAATATATATTACAATACATCCCATTTTGTTTTTGAGTGTTTAACTTTCTTCATTTTTAAAAAATTTAGTCTGTGCTTCTTATAAAACACAGTGATATCACATGGACCACCTAAATCTATTAATTATGTACTCTTGGAGTAAGTTGAAGGCTGATAACGTTGAAATTCGGCGTTAGATCCATGCAGTAAACACAATTCAAATATCTCAATGTGCAGCTTCGCACTTAAAATGAACTTAATTAGTTTGATAATCTCTGAAACATATTATTTTAAACGTCGCATGCTATTATTTTTAACACAATCGAGTATTTTTTAAGAACAGTCTAACATTTTTCGGCCTGGCTTCATTATAAGAGGGCAAGTAATGTTTTGAATTTTCTTCTTTCATTAAAACATTTTCTGCATACATCCATTTAAATTATGTTGCACAGAGAGAAGCGAATCGAAATATATAAGAGGCTTCTACATCATTCGTGGTTTTTTCTTTTCTTCATTGAAATTACACATGTTAGCGAAGAGAAGAAACATTCACAGTTAACAGTTTGATATTGTTTAAAATAATATTTTACGTTTTAAAAGTTACAGCTTTAACGCCAAAAACTAGCGAAGAAATGGAAACTAATAGGCCTAACATCTGCTTACTTTCAACTGACGGAAACCGCTTTAGTAATGACAAATTGTTTAAATATCGCTTGTAAAGATGTATTTATTAGTATAAGCCACCTTCCTGACTAGTGGTTAATAAATTACGCTTCACCAGCTTAAAGCGTCATACAAAATAATATATACGTATATATATATATATATAAGCGAAATTGTATGCTTGTCTGTCCGCTAACTCCTCGCACACTATTTGACCAGTCACCATCAAACATGTCATGGTGACTCCTACGGTCCCCAGAAATAATACGAAGAGACTAAATTCCCACCAGGTTTCCCACAAAATAGTTTATTTAGTAACTTAAAACTAATTTTTGGATTTTAATTCAGTTTCTGTCTTCGTGTCACGATCCTTTTGGTAACACTCAACAATATCCATCGTCGCTTAGCAACAAAACTATCACGATATTGTTGTTAGGCCAACAATGTTGTTTACGCTAAACGCGTAATATTCATGTTAATTTGTGCAAGTGTTTTCTTGGTTTATTGATACAATTATTTTAATTTGGCGAGTTTTTCATCACTACTTTATATTATATTTTGCATCGTGTTAATTTTTGGTCTATTTTATTTTTTCTGTTTTAATAACTTCGGTGATATAAAAGCAAACGGTTTAATTCAGAAATTTCTTCTTAAGTTAGTGTTGGAAAGTTTTCAATCAATCAATCAACCAAATACATTACTATTCCAGACAAATGTGGTAACTTACTTAAGGATCGTGGAAAAACTAAAGGAAAGGGTGTTCCCTTATATTTATCAAAATTATGAATATTTTGGTAAAAGAGCAATTCTTAGACCTCGAAATGGTACTGTTCATGACATCAATGATCAGTTATTGTAAAAGATTACCGAACAGGAATTCACCTACAGATCAAATGTAAGTGTTCCAGTTACCCAACTGAATTCTTAAATTCTCTTGAAACCACCAAGAATGCCAGGACACATTCTGAAATTAAAGGTAGATTCACAAATAATGTTGGATCTCAACAAAGCCTGTTTATTATATTGTAGAATAACGAACAACAGACAACGTAGTATATCAAGAAGCTTTGATTTAGATTGTTTAATTTTTGTTTTAAAAATCAAAGGTTTAGATAAAATTGAAAATGTTATGGAATATTTAATTTTTGAAATAAACGTTGTTAAAAGTAATTTCATTGTGT